GGTAAGTACCTGGTGAAACAGCCACCCTGCCTGGAGCACAGTGCTATGGGCAGGGGCTGTTCAGGAACGGTGGGTGGCCCTGCATGCTAATGCCATGATAGACATTAGGGAGTGAGAAGGGAGAGCCCAGGTATGTTTGTGTCAGGATCACTTTGGGGAAGGGCAGAAAATGAAGCTTCCCTGGGGCAGGGCTGCAGCCAGGGGCAGACGCTGAGGTCGGATCTAGAAAGAGACTCTGCAATATTGTTAGAGAGAAAAGCTGCCGGGAACTGTGTTGTCAAGGGGGACTTTGACCTCCCAGATGTGAGTGGGGAGTAAATGCTACTAACCCTGGTAGGACAGAGGGATCATCCCCAGATGTGAGAGTCGACAGATTCCTTCTCCAAACAGTCACTGAACCAACAAGAGGCGATGCTGTTTGGGGCTTGGTCCTGGTGGTGCGGGAGTTCATACGGAAGTGGCGGTACTGTTATAAAAGAGCTTTGGGCAGAGAGATCGTGGGTTGATTTGGTTGAAACTAAAGGGTTTACACAGAAGCAGTTCTCTATTGTGAAAGGACAAACCTCTGGAAAGGGAGTGAATCGGAGAGGGAGGTCGACTGGACGAGCCTCTCCGGGACCTGAGCGTGGAGGTTGCCTGCAATGTTTCTGGCAAACGTGCTAATATGATCTGGAACCTGTATCCCAAACAAGGGGTTTGTGGTGTCACGGCCCCTCCCCATCTCCTGAAGGTTGGGAAAGCCAATTCTGAGAAGCAGGTGAACTTAATTAACATTTTCTACTTTCACTTCTTTTTTTTTTTCCTGTGGAAAGGCAAGGCACCCAGTTACTGCAGCTGTAGCCACTAACTATGCCTGGTGCTTCCCAAAAGCACTGAACAGCACTTTGGTCAGATTAACTCCAGTGGCTCTGAACAACACTGTGTAAGGCTGAAGTTGCAAAGTTGTGCTTTCAGGGGAGCTCTCAGCAGATGTGGCTTGAACTGGCGCTTCACGCTCCGGAAAACCCCTGATCACGGTGACAGGTGTGCGAGCGCTCTGAGGTTTGTTGCAGGTGGCTTCTAATTGCCAAGAGCTTCTGCAGCCCCTGCTATTCCCACGAGCCCCTCTCCAGTGATACAGAGGGCCGAGCTGATGCCAGACTGTGTCTACTACATGCATTTGTTGTTCCCACAGGCTTTTTTCTTTGTAACTTGTGAACATTTGAATGAACCATAACGACACCCTACCTGTTATAGCAATGAGATATTTCAATGATATGCCACTGACACTGCTATTAATTTGTAAAAAGTAGCATATTTTCACATGCCAAATTAATGTTTGTTGTATCACGTTTTAAAAAGTTAGATCAGTGGTTTTCAGCTTTTTTTCATTTGCGAACCCCTGAAAAATTTCGAATGGAGGTGCGGACCCCTCTGAATTGTAAGTGTAGGCATTCGTGTACTTTTGATTGATCGCAGTCATCTTTCGTGGGCCTTTTAGACCCCCAGGGCTCTGCAGACTACAAGTTGGAAACCACTGAATTACACGATAGTGTAAGAGTCACATTGCAGCCATGATGGTCCTGAAATTAAGCAAAGGGCCAGAATTTCTTAGGGTGATATCTCTTATTGGACCAACTGCATAGTTGGGAGAGTTAGACAAGCTTTTGAATGCAAAATATTCTTCATCAGGTCACATGACGATAATTCATGACACGCAAAACTGAACACTCAGCATGTTCATACAACACATCAAACACAACTTGCAAACACGTTAGACAACACAACATATATAAATAACATACGTGCTGCTCTGTTCAACACTGATAAGGCCTTGCCAGGAGTATCGTGTCCATTTTTGGAACCTGCACTTCAAGAAAGATGTAGCCAGATTAGAAAAAGTTCAGTGAAGAGCAGAAAAATGATTAAAGGTCTGGAGACCTTGATGTATGAGGAAAGGATGAAAGAACTGAGATAGTCTGGAAAAAAGAAGCCTGAGAAGGGGATTTGATAACAGTCTTCAGCAACGTGGAGGTTGGTATAAAGAGGACAGAGATCGACTATTCTCTGTGGCCTCAGGAGACAGGACAAAGAGCAATGGACTCAAACTGCAATAGGGACATTTCGGTTGCAGATTAGGAGGAACTTTCTCACTACATGGGGGATTCAGCCCTGCAACAGATACCCAGAAGTTGTGGACTCTCCATCTGGAAACTTGGAAGAGCAGGCTGGGCAGAAATTTGTTGAGGATGGCTTAGACAGGGATGATCCTGCCTTGAGCAGATTACATGATTTTCTGAGATACCTTCCAGACCTACTTTTCTATAATTCATTCATGATGCTAAAAGGAACCACATAGATAGATAGATAGATAGATAGATAGACAGACACAGACAGACAGACAGAGCTTCAACTGATATATAGACGCACATACGTCAAGCAAAGATATCTTTATTTTTCATCCTTTTTGCAAAAAGAGTACCAAACAAACCCTTCCCAAATCCCAAAAGAGCAGCCAAGAGTGGAGCCATGTGGGGTCAAAAGGGAAAGAATAAGCTCAAGGGAACAAGCGAGACAGATGCTGCCCTGGCAGAGAAGGGGCCGTGGGCTCCAGCTGAGGCCCTTGTTCCCAGAAGGGGAAAGCCTTTCCCAATGCTCTCTATGATCTGGATGTCCTGGGCAAGTGCCCTAACCAGTAGGCTAGTGAGATAAAACAGGGGAAGGCCCTCCTCCTCCACCATTTCACGCCCAGGAGGTAGGAGAGCCGGGGTTTTCTGTGTCACTGCAGGGGAAAGCAGACTCTGAGGCTTTGCATAAGGGCCAGAAACTTGCTAACCAACCTCTTTCTTTCCCGGTTTAGACCGTGGGCTGGCAGGTGGGCAGATGCACTCTCTTCCTGTTTCTGGCTAGAGGCGGCCCCTCCTCAGCAAGGGCTCTGTGAAAGCCAGAGGACCCGGTGCCTGAGCTATTGCTCTGACTTGCTCTGGGGCAGGCTGTGTGGTTTTGGTGCTGGCTGCATCTACAGGTGCAGCTGTTTCCTTGTTCCCAGCCCCAGCTCGTGCAGGACACCACGCTTTCTTTTCTGAGGGCCAAGAGTGCCGGCTGGCTGTCATCCTCCTCGGGGGCATCCTGCCAGGGGCCATCCCCAGGATCACACTAAGGGGCACAGAGCCCCTTCATCATCACTGAGTAGGGTGGAAAGAATCTCCCTGGCCACAGAAGTGATTTGCAGCAGCTGTGCGAGGCCGGCCTTTGCTGGAAGAGGCAGCTCAGGGACCCTCTAGTTCTTCTTTCTGTGCCCAGGGTTTTCCCTGTGGTGACAGGGTGCAGGGAGCACTTCCTCTGTGGTGGACACCATTCTAGCACCTCAACGAGGGAAGTGGGCAGCGTGTGATGTCAGCGGGTCCCGTCCCATCACTCCTCTGGGTTGCTGCTGACCCAGTACTTGCCCTTTGGCTGCCGCGACTGCTTGGAGCCCATCACTGCCCAGCAGCCGTGGAGCGATGCCCTTTCAAAGGCAGCCTCCCCCATTTGGTGGCCACCGCTTTCCCCACTGGTCATAAAATGTGTCCCAAGGGATGGATTATATGTGCGCTAGGACTGATAAGATCCTCTGGGAGGGGAGATGTCATCTCACGTTCATTCTCATCTCCCCTCCGGAAGGGTGTAGGGGGCTGACCCCACCAGCATCCTTCCTCACAGAGGAAAAAGAAAAGCTTTTCCTCTCCTTGAGTGTAAGACCCCAGCCTGGACTCTGGGCATCATGTCCCCCAAAATGGCAGCCTTCATATGGGGCACCCAATTGAAATGGACCTCATCACCTCTCCCAACAGTTGGGAAATCGAGGAGAGGAAGTTTGGAGCATCAGGTGGACTTAATTAGTTATTAGAAAGCACAATGAGAAAGCAGATACACAGTAAATTATCAGGGTACAAAGGGCAGTGAGAGAAGTGACCAACTTCACCATCAGCTGGGAGGTCCCATGAGGGTACCAGTTGTCCATGAATCCTTTAGCCCCTTGGTTCTGATGTTTCTCAGAACCACCAGTACCTTCCCTTATCTCTCTTCTTACCTGCATGTGTATTAACCAGTGTGTTGTGCTTATCCAGTGGAATGGCAGCTGACTGCACATGGTTACATTTTTTCAATCAAAAGACAAAACACCCAGATGCTATAGCTCTTACTTCTAACTACATCTGGTGCTTCCCAAAAGCACTGATCAGCATTTGGCCCAGATTAATAATACCAGTGGCCTTGAGCAATACTGGTTTAATGCTGAAGTTGCAAAGTTTTGCTTTAATGGGAACACTTAGCAGGTGCAGATTGAACAGATTTGTCACTGCAGCAAAGAGCTCCAGACCTCAGGGGGCAAATAGCCCTGCTAGAGGGTGCTAGGGGGAAGCAGGGAAAGGCCACAAGGGCTCATCAGCAAAGAAAGGTGTGTCCTGGAGATGCAGCGGTGCAGGGCTGACACAAATCAGGCTGAGACGGCCCATGCAAAGGAAAGGACTGTGAAGAGCAAAAGGGGCTTCAGCCACACAAACAGCAGGAGAAGTGAGACTTGAATGCAGTGAGGACAGGGTAGAGGTGAAAGGTGATGGAGGGGAGACCCAAGAGCTAAGTGAGCACTTTGCCTCCATGCTCAGTGGTGATGGTGCTGACTCTGGAGGCAAAGGTAGGACATGCAACAGGGATGAGGGCTTGGATGTGGAAATAGGCAGAACCAGAGAGACAAACCTCACAGCTCTCCTACTGGGGTGATCGATGATTTCCATCTCCAGGCCTGCTGCAGCCCCAAACTGTGAAAGAACTGGCACAGGCATTGCAGGCTCTGGGGTGCCCGTCTGGCCCCTGGGAATGCCCTGGGGGTGAGAGGGCAGCAGGGACAGGTCTGGTGGGGATGCTGGGACAGTGGGGAGGTGCTGTGGGCTGGTGTCCAACATGAAGCTGGTCCTACACCACCGGGTATCCCTGAGCACTCTGGGCTAATCTGATCTCTCTCCTCCCTCTGCGTAGCCAGGATGTGTGCAGTGGAGCAGGCAGCTCTCGTAGTCAGGAGTTTTCTCCCCAGCCCAGCAGGGGCTCTGGAAAGTCCCTCCCCATGTGGTCTCAGCCCCTTGTGTGCACTGGGGGTGACAGCTCTGGCCCTCTCTTGGCAGGTCTTGGGGCATAAGTCCAGAAGGGGCCACGGTGGGCAGCTGGTTTCCTGGAGGGCATAAGACTCCAGGCTTCCTTGGACAGCTTCAGGGTTTCTGATGACATCACTGGTTGGGAGAAATAGGCTTTCCATACCCATGTTCCATCTTCTCTTTGCCGCTCATGCCCTTGGCCTAGCTGGTAAGTCTTCTGATTTTCCTTACATAAATGTCAAGGTCCCAAACCCCTGGAGCTTGACAATCCCTGAGTACCAGAGGGCATCCTAACCCAAAGCACCGAATCATAGACAACATGAGTGGATGCTGCTCTGACTCCTGTGTGCAGGGTTTGGGCTAGGGGTGGGCAAAATGTGGCCCACGGGCCAGATGCAGCACCCCAAGCTATTCTATCTAGCCTGCAGGGCCCCTAAAAAATTTAGAAAATTAATATTTATCTGCCCTGGGCTGCCTGTCATGCGGCCCTCGATGGCTTGCCAAGACTCAGTAAGTGGCTCTCCACCCAAAATAATTGCCCGCCCCTGGTTTGGGCTCATCTTCCACCCACCTGGGCACTGACTTCTCCTTTTCCTGCTCCCTCCCTCCCTGTCTGCCTGGCCCCAGCAGCTGCACAGAAGGCCGTGCTGACCCTGGACCCTCCCTGGAGCACCGTGTTTGAGGGGGACAGCGTCACTCTGACGTGCAGGGGGCCCCGCTTTCCTGGATCAAACCTCACACTTTGGTATTTCAAGGACAAGCTCTGGAAATCTACCTACAAAAAGACCCTCCTAATTAAAGATGCAGAAGAAACACAGACAGGCAAATATGAGTGCCAGATATAGGGCTCCCCACGCAGCAACCCGGTCCAGCTGACTGTTTCCAAGGGTGAGTCCAGGACCACCGTGTTCCCTCCTTTCTGCTCTGCTCCAGACTCCGAGTCCTATGGGCTCTGAGGCAGGACATTGGGGTAAATGCAGCTCCCTGCGGGCAAGCAGAGGACAGTTCTGTGGTTTCCCTCCCACAGCTCCCTCTGGGCTCTTCAGGCACTGACCAAGAAGGACCTCTCCAGGTCCAGCAGAGAGGCCTGGGGTTCCTGCCCAGCTTGCTGGAGCTGGAGGAGCACTGGGGCAGGCCCTACAGTGTGTGTTGTGTGCATGGCAGGCAGGAGGGGCTCCAGAAGCTCCTAGGGCAGCAGTGTGGGCAGCTGGCTCTGCCCCCATTGGGTGTCCAAATGTCCGCTCCTCAGGCAGGCAGCCGTGCCCCGTTGTGCCACTGCTACGATGTTTTGTCTCAGGAGTGTGTCACTCGTCTCCCCCCTGCCCCCTTCACTCACTTTGGCCTTGCCCTCCTCTCTGTTGCCCACATGAGGGCAATTTTTTTTGGTTTTCCTCTGGCACAAAAGGAGCCCCTGGGTTATTTTCAGCTGGGACCTAGGACCTCTTTCTTTGTGCCATCCCCATCCTGCCTGGGCAGAGTGTGCTTCGTATTTTGTGCAGTGATCCCTGCCATTCCTG